TCCCCGCCCCCTCCCGCTTTTTACTTCTTATTTGCACGCCACCCAATCGAGCCCGCGGTAGGTTGAGAGAAACCGCCGATCCCACGGTAGGTTGAAGCCACGTTGCCCACGCCACCACCATCATAGCCCTCCAACACTATTTCTTCCCTTTACGCTTCCCCTGTTACAATCTTTTTCTACTTTCGTTCTTCTTGAATTTTCTCACTCACTCTGTGTTTCTCTTTTCGTCCCTCCTCCGTACCTTCTTTCTGTTTGTGGGCATTGCGAGATCAGCGCCGAGATTGCTTTCATCATTTTATGCCTGTTACGTGCCCCGTTGTCGCGACGAGTCGGCACTCCGGGTCGCTAAGCTTCGACAGCACCCACCACTGTCGATGTGTCTGATAAATTTGTGGGGGGAGGGCGGCTCGTGGGCTTGGTATTGGCAGGTGGAGGAGGGGGACTGCGGGTTCCTAATTGCTAATTCATGAAGAAGTGAAATTATTGGGGCTTTCATCCACAAAAATAGTTTAGTTGAACTGAATAAATTTTATTTGAATTCAATAAATTTTCTAGTAGAATCAAGTGAACGATTTATTTGATGGAAATAATTTTTATTTAATTCAAATAAAATAGTTTTCCGCGTGTTGCTTTATCGATTGACCTCTGGACTCTGGATTATGCATAGAATAGTCTAGGAATGATGGGAAATAGTTATTTGAAATATTTTTTGTTCTTCAATATTCAGAACCGAGATTTATGGCCCCCATCTGAATTTCAACCTATAAGAATTCTGAATTTGACGTCTTACGGTGGAGTGGGGTCGAATTATTTCGATAAAAAGTTCTACGGAAAAACCGTACGTTTCACGTGAGAATATTTGATGGAATGGAACAAATTTACTTGATGAAATCCTTTATAAAAATTAAATTTTTGTTGTGATCATCAGAAATACCCCTAGAATAGTTCGAACTGTTGGCAGGAAAAAATATAATCTATTGTACGACAATCATTTGATCTGAACATATAATTTTTGTCCAGAATTCTGCCGATTTCCCTGCCTTGAATCCCACAATTTTTAAAAAATACTCATATTTTTTCACTTGCTCAAACGTAAATATGAAGCAATTTTTTCTGTAAAACATGAATTTTTTAATGAACATTTGCAAAAAAACATCGAATGCTGCATCCCTCCAGCTTCAAAGTTTATAAAAAATCGCGTTATTTTTTTTTTCTGTAGTCAAATATATTTCTTTTTATCAGAATCAACTTCATGAATGAACACCTCCAGATAGAACAAAACTCCTCCTCAATTTTTAATCCCCATCACCCTTCAATCTCCCCTGACAACACGTATCCTCAGCAGGCCAAGAAATCCGACAGTCATTGTCTGTCCAATTGACACGATTACACGCTTGATCCTCATTACAAGTGGATTCGTTGCAATTTTTATTGCCATAGATCACGGAGTTTGTTCGCCTCACTCCTCCATCATGACTCATCGTAACCATCGGTAACTTGGTGTCGTGAGTTGCGCAGGGTCGTGGATTACACCTGTGATGAAGAAATCCACACTGCGGTAATTTCGACGCATTATTCTGATGTCTGTAGTGCTCGAACTCCTCCACAAGTCGATAGGACGAGAGTTTTTCACTGATGTCAGCCGATTCGTGACATCCACATCCATCAGATGGCTGAGTGTGATCAATTCGCTCGACTGCTAGATGGGTTTGAACCGATGCACTTTCCATCGTTTTAGTTCTTTTACTATCAATTTCCATCAACTTCATTCTCTCCATTCCCTATAACATATTCAGTAAAAAATATCATTCGAATTGTAGGGAAAAATGAGAAGAAAAGTTGAGGGAATAAAAGATTTAGATTTGGAAGGGGAAAAAACATGAAATTTCAAATGACACTGAAAATTTTGAAACGTACAGTTCCCACCCATTTTTCCATGAAATTATGAATTTTCAATGACAAAATTCCTAGCAAATTTCAGTGGAAATGTTACTTGTTAGAAGTTTTCAAGATACTGGAAATTTCAGGGTCAAATTTTTAACAGTAACAGTTCTGTCACAGAAAGTATCGAAATTTGTGAATTTCGTAATTAACTCCTGGAAAAATTGTAAAGCACTTGTCTTTCGTCCTAGACCATTTCAAAATTTATAAAAAGTGCACTAGAAATTTCAGCCAACATTTTTGAACAGTGCATTCACTAATTCATAAATTAATTTGTAAATTCGTTAATTTTGCAGATAAAGCTCAACAAAAATTCTAGTTGACCCTGAAAATTCCTGAATCTATAAACTTTGTTCTTAATTCCATGAAAAATTGTAAAATACTTTCCCCTCATCCCAACCGACTATAGCTCATCTCTACAGGAAAGAAAAATCGACCAAAAAATTGTTCCGAAAAACCAAACATCCCGTCGTAACCGTGAATGCAAGAAAAAAGGGCAAAACGATTGGTATTCACCTCCACAAATGTTTATAAATTCATATGCGATTTGTATTCGATAGTATCGTTAGTGGAGAAGAGAGGGACCTCCCGAGATACGATCGCAACGCGGAACAACCGTGTCAGGTTATACATTTACCATACAAAGTTGAATATCGAGAGAAAACCGGGGGAGAATTCACTCGCTTTATCCAATATATATTCCACCCAGCGCACTCGCTCAAGTACAGTGTCAGGACGTACTATATGCATATTATGTACGTGTAATAACGACAATACCTTCCAAGACCCATCTCATAAATGATGTTGCCACAACCGATATGTTCTCGGATACACGTGTACAGGTGTGTTAAGTTGTGATGAGGTAGATTTTGGTTATTCACTAACCTGCTTGTCATGTAACTCGAGTGCTCTCTGAGAATGAATGTTCATTTGTGTATTCAGGAGACAGTGAGACTTGTCCCGGGAATTTGATAGTGTCGATGTTGATGATGCCTTTGATGGTGAGATCACCTTGACATGATCGAGGGAGCGATACTCGTAGCCACAGATGGGACAGCGCGTCTGCAATGCACTGCTATCGCCCTTCAATGGGAACAGAGCGCACAATGGCCAGCACCTGAAACATCATCAAAGGGTTTGGTACGCGTTCCAATGATGGTTCAGTCGAATGCGATTATGTCTCGGGCACAGAGGGCAGAGGTGGGACAGTCGGGAGAGATGGACATTGGCGTTTTTTCTCGAGTGACGTACAATGGTGGAAATTTTTGGCTTCAGGATATCCAACTTTGGATACTTTTTCTTCAGCGAAATGCTCTTCTACTTTTGTAGGCGAACATCATAACTTTCATTTGAGCCGTCCAAGTTTGCGGATTTTTTACAATGATTTTATTGTATAAACTTTGCAGGACTGAATTTGGATTTTGATATTAAACCGTTAGAAAACATTTAAAAAAACTGAAAAAAATGAGAAAATTTATTTGTGGAGAAAGATTGATGAAATAATTGATCAATTGTGATTTTTGAAAAGGGAGCATTTTCGGTAAATAATTTTTAAAGGATCAATTTGTCGCTATTAAAATTATTTGTTCGGAATCGTAACAAATTTATTCATATTCAGAATTTGACCAGAAATCGATTTCATGTCTAGAAAATAGAGGTTTCCGAATGTTTGAACAATTGCAATTATTTATTTATAAACAACGAATGTTTAAACAAATCATCATTCTGTACAAACTGTAATTTAAAAGACGCTGAATATTCACGATTTTTTAATATGTAGTTCCTCTGAAATTTCCAGACATTTTGGAATCGAAAATTACGGATTTTATGGAGAAATTGATGGAAATTGTGAATATCAGTTTGATTATTTCTTGAAAGTTAATAAGAATCAAAACATTCAAGTGAATGTATTCTTGAATTCTTGATTAATTGAAAATTCAGCGGTACTTGCCACTGAATACTCATGTTTCGATTGTAAATTTTAGTGAGTTGGAGAATTCTCTTCTTCTTGATGCTGAAAAATTCTGGATTTCATTAAATCTGCAGTAAAATCTGGAGTTTCATCATTTTTTCTCCTTAACTGGAATTCAATATCACTCTCCTGAAAATTACTAGGCAACTGTCCATGAAATTTTATTTTTTTCTAACTGTATATATTTTACAAATTTGAGGATGCGATACTTTAGTCCCTTAAAATTGGATAAACTTCTGAAAATTAGAAAATTTTGGCAAGTGATAAAATTGAAAATCCTCGATTTGATGAGAAAACCAACAGAAATGACAAATTCCAGTTTAATTATCCCACGAAAATTCATAGTAGTCAGGCATTAATTGGATGCATCTATTTTTGAATTTTCAATTGATTCAAAACCTAGCGTAAATTGAGGAATTCTTGTCTTCCTACTGCTGAAAAATTTGAAATTCTATTGAATTTTCTGTAAACTTTGCAATTCCATGATTTTTTTCTCCTCAATTAAATTAAATGCCCCTCTAAAAATTGACCATTTACTATTGGATTCTAAGAGTACTTTTAAATAGACTAGTTCTTCTATGCCCTTTTGCAGCAAACCATCTCTCCCGGACGAATGTTTGAATTTCACACACCTTTTGTAGAATTTTTTCAGACGCTAGAAAATATCTGAATAAAATGAAAATTTGTCTGAATTTCAAACATGAATTAAGATGTTTGGGCACCTGTTCATCTGAAATTTAGACACATTTTCATCTTATTCAGACGTTTTTTAGTGCCTGAAAAATGTCTGCAAAAGGTATGTGAAATTCAGACATTCGTTTTTGTTGTGCCACCAAATAAATTTATAAACATAAAAAGTTATTGCGATTAACTAAGAACATCACTTGTGAAATAACGAAAAATCTTCTGAAATTTCCTCCATTCTGTCCCACCCTCCTACCTGATACATGAAAATCGTAATAACGATTTACCCGAGGAGACAAATGGCAGCAAAACCCGAGCTCGTGACTCTCCTACGTTTTTCCAATACAACCGGAACTACTGGCTTCTTGCAAATGGGACAGTACGCCTTCTCACCGTGGGACCTCCATGTTTCGACTGTGAACCAAGGGGTGAAGGGAGGAAAGAGTGAACAGAGAAATATATCGTCGAGGCTGGCTTTATTGCATTTGCCCCCGGAAACCGCCCGAATAGATTTATCGCTTTAATCTGGTCATCCGATGCCACTGCCCGACCGATGGTCAGTGGCAGTTTTATTTCACTTTTTTTCATCGATACTCGTTTTTTCTTATTTCGTTGTCATGTTGCATTGGACTAACCTTTCGTCGAGAATATCGCTCGTGACTCGGGTTTCTTTGGACGGGCCGGGGATTTTCGGCGGGGCCGGGATCTTGACTGGGAGCTGCAGAATTTTTTCAGGTTACATTGACGTTTCTGTAAACAATTCATTCCCTTGGGATGATCGAGTCACGTGTGAATCACTTCAGAATTATTTCATTACCTTCGACTTTCCCATTCTGTTTCTATTCATTAATTTATTTTAGTCGTAGTCATCACTGGAATTTTGATTTCCGAAATTGTTACTCATAAAATTGGACTCAAATAGATTTGCACGGACGTGAAGTTGGCTACGCCGTGTCGTGAACGTATCGATCGAATGATGAATGAATTCTGAGAATAGAAAATGTGACGTCTATCAAAATTCACGACTGCAGGTCAATTAATAATCACTTTTTTCCTGATTCTCAGTTAATGAATTAATTCTAACTGCAGTCATCGTTTGAATGCAGATTTTCAAATGTATTATTCATCAAAGTGGACCGAAATAAATTTCTCCAGACGTACACTCACGAGTCAATTCTAGGAATAGAGAATGTGACATTTATGGAAATTCTGTCCTGTAGGATTTTTGTAGATTGCAGTGACATTTCTGTCATTCGTTAATTCGCTTAAAATAAGTATCTCACCTCCGATTTTCCCCATCTTGATCCGATTAATGTATTTACTTCAACTGCAGGATTGACTCATCACAGTTATTATTCATGCCATTGGATTCAAGCGACCACAGTCTGACTGCATAGTTTCTCAAAAATATTGATCCCCTGACACCTTGATGAACGACTTCCAAGAATAGAAAATGTGACATTTATTAAAATTTGCGGGCTGCCGATTCTCCGAATACGTCTCATTAATAATGAATTCAGCCGTATAATTACGAACACGATAACTCCACGTTATGTAAGGTGAATCAGACTGGAGGCATGCAAACACTTAAATATTCACCACTCAATTTCGTGCGTATTCCGAACGACTTGGAAAGCGGATCAATTATTTATGATGCATTGAATTACAGGCACAAAGGAATACAAAATGCCAAGTGCTCTCTCTCATTATTCCTCTTCAATAAATAATCAAACGAGCTGTGAAAAAAAAAACTTTTCCCCTCTGTAACTCACTGAACCCCTGTGCATGCGAAAAAAAAACGCAATTGCATTTAACATTTCGTAGAAAGCTGTAATTAGCACATATTTAACTTTGCGGAACGTAATTAGAAACTCCAGTCTTGTTTATTTGTCCGAGTCCAGATGCGTCGCACTGCCTGTGTACTCTGACTAGTTAAAAAGCCTGAACCCCTCCCCCGCGCCCCCGAAAAAACATAAATTACCCCTTTGCAATGGCGCAAAAACCGTTCACCGAGGAACATAAATAACCTTGCAGCTATTTAACTCTTGGCTGTACCGTTTCGTGAGTCAACTTCATATTGAGTTGTCAATTAGGGATTGATGGAAGTTTAATTGAGAGTGGATGGCAATTTTCAATGTTGTAACATTGAATTGGCTTCGGAATTAAATTTCTCCCACATTGCGGATTTTTAAATATTAAATTTTGGAAATCTTTGTGGGAATTGAACGTGAGATTTAGTTTGATTTTTTGTATATTGAGAGGTGGAAGGAATAATCATCTGAGTTTATGGGATGCAGGAGCATTGACATCTGTTATCTAATTAGAAATTAAATCTTTAGGGGATTTTGATAAATTTGATTGATCTTTACTTAATATTGAGAGATTTTTTAAGTAAATATTGAGATAGAGCTTCGTTGATATTGAAAATTTATTGGAATCTAGAATTTCATTTTTAATTTGAATTTTGGGGTGAATTCCGAACTCAAGAAGATACTGTGTGTTTTTATTACTGTATCGAATTAAAATGAGAATCTTCATTGGATTTTTTCAATATTGTGACACTGAATTGCATTTAAAATAAAATTTCCGGAATTGATCGCGGTAGTCTATTGGATTTTTTATAATACTGACCGATGGAAGGAATAATCATTGGGTTTTGATGATTTTCGTAACTTCAAATGAGATTTCAAGGAAAATTATTTATCAGTTGATATTGAAAACTGGGAATGATTGAGTTTTTTTCATGTACAGCAAATATGAGAATTTAACATCTTTTTAAATTTAATTTCGAATGATGCGGGGGTTTGAGGGAGTATTTGCCTGCATAGGGCCTATGCAGGCAAATATTCCCTCATAATTTTCAAGCGTTTTCATAATGAGGCCAAATTAAAACGTGAATTTCCAGTCAACTTTTATCAAATCAAATGAATTTTCCGTGACAGAATCCATTAAATTCTATATGGATCATTTGTTGGATATTTCCATAATTTTTACAGGAAAATTGAAGTACATTTCCGCATCATAGTGATATATCCATGTCCAGAATTTTTTTTTTAAACATTCGTTGTTCATAAATATTCAATTCAATTTATTTCCCTTGATGTTACAAGAGTTCTTTCCTTGTTTTACATCTCGTTGTTCATAAATAAATAATTGCAATTTTTAAGTTATTTTATCAATTTTCATCCAAAAGTAAACTTTCTAATTTTTTTCAGATTGTTAAAATCTTTTCTAACGGTCCAATATTGAGATTCAAATTCAGACCTGCAAAGTTTCAATAATAAAACCATTGTAACATGTCCGGAAATTTAGGAACAAATGAGGCTCAAATGAAAGCTGTGATGTTCGATTACAACAGTAGAAAAGCATTTCACTGGAGAAAAAATAGCCAAAGTGCTTGGATATCCTTAAAGCATCAATCCCCTTTGAATTCTTATGAAATCCAGTGCCTTTCTAGTTCTCAAACAAAATATTGGAATTTCCCATAAAAATTCAACATTCAATTAGATTCAATTTCAACCCAGTTTCCCCAATATCAGACACATCAATAATAAAATTCACTCGAATTCCATGCAAATAATTTACGTAATATTCCACGAATTATTACTCGCATTCGTATCTCACATTTCCCCTCAATCCACTGTAATATTTACACCCCATCGTCAATCCCCTCGATTACACAAAATTGACGTGCAATCACGGCAATTGCGCACGTACAAACTCATCCGATTAGTTGCAATGATGTATCAATTATCCATTAGATCATAAATTCAGGCTGATGAATTAATTCCAGACTCCATCACTGGATTTTTTATCAGTGAAGATGCTCGAGTTACGCATCCGGTGTAAGAAGCTAATGGAAATACCATGGCAACACAGACACAGTGGGTCAGGAAATCGGGTCGGCTTGTAATACCAAAGAAGGGGGCAAAAGGTGGGAGAGGGACGGGGGGCGAGAGAGAAGGGCAATACCGTTAACCCGTCTGCCTCATGCTCCGCTGAGGCCGTGGAGTGTTGTTTTCTTTGTGGACGCGCCTACAGACACTCGGTAAAAAGCGGAACTGTAATACGTGCATCCGCACAAGAACTACTTAGCCCCGGCGGTCCCTCTCACCCCCGTTTTTCAATCATTTACTTGAGAGTCGATCGGGTGCACGAAAAAAGCGAGTCGATAATGATGGTGATCGCCAAATTCAGCCGCATGCTCACCTTGACTAGCGCTCGGCGGGAAAGTTATTCCGATCCTGGAGTGCCTAATAGAGTATTTGAGGCTTTGTTTGTTTTTTCCGGCTGCTAATAAAGGGGAATATGTCCTTCGGGGAATGATTCTCGAATTAAGAGCGATTTTTTTCGCTTTGGGAACTTGAGAGCGAAGGTTGCAGTGTCATTGAGCAATTAAAAAAGATGACCTGTTTTGTATCAGCGGTTTTTAAGATTTTACGAGGTTTAATTCTATTGGATGACGATGAATAAAGAAGTCATTTTTTGATTATTGAGAAAGGTTATGGATTTTATGAGTACATGAATAAAAAATTGTCATATGAATTAAATCCGTAGTCAAGAATTTTCCGCTGAAATTGACTGTTCGAAAGAAATTGACATTTAATGGACCGATGCCTAGCGATTTTCAGGAGAATAACTTTGAACTGGAGAAAATTCCAGATTTCACGGAAAATTCAATGAAATTACAATTTTTTTAGCAGCAGCAAATATGAATGTGTTAAATTATATCGAATTTTACTGCATTATGTTGATTTTTTTCTATGTCTGAGAATTTTCATTGAATAATTGAACTAAAATTTACAGTTTCCATTGACTTTTTTCATGAAATTTAGAATTTTCGATTACGAAATGCCTTGGAATTTCTGTGGAACTCTAGTGTGATGAAAATTTGCAAAAAATTTACTGGAAATTACAGCCAAAAATTTTTAACAGTGTTCCCAATACACTTATTAAAATTCTTATCGTGTGACAGTTCTACAGAAATTCCAAGGAATTTCGTCATTGAAAACTTAATGACGAAAATAATAATAATAATAAAACTTCATGGAAAAATCAATAAAAATTGTGAATTCCAGTTGAACTATTCCATGGAAATGAATAGATAAATCAGGGAAATTCAGGTGAATATATTCAATTGATTAAAAATTCATCTAAATTTTGTAGTGATTATCCATGTAAATCAAATTCAATATCCGTTTCTTGAAAATTACTAGCCCATGAAATTTCAACTTTGTTTTTAACCTGATAAAAAATCATGGATACTTCTATTTCAATCTCAGTTCATATCCATTATTCTTTCCCCACGCAAACAACAAAGCTCCCAAGAAATAAATTTTTGCAAAGATCCCCACAAAAATGCTGCTGAAATTTAAAAAATTATGATGTTTCCGTATAATTCCCCAAAAAATGAATCAACCCAAACTGGCATGCATAAATGATTTCCTCGTTCCTCCTCATTAAATTTCTTCTTCGCCCTCGTGAGAGAAGAAGTTATTCAAATTGCGCGCGCTCACTCTCCAGACGTACTTAATTTTTTTCAATTTGGAAGAGACCTTTTTTTTCTTTCCCTCGGTCTTTTCTCTTTCACATTAAGCAATTTAAACCATCCGCTATAATGAAAATGGATCCGTAGGCAGACGTCGCGTGCGGTCTTACGGGTATTATGGTAAGCAGCTTGGAAAGTTCATCGACTCGTGTATATAGAAAGGGCTGGGGGAGGCGGGAGGAGGGGGGAGGGGGTTAACAAGGCGTTTTAAGTAGATCGGTCAACGCAAATCGCGGGGGATCTCCGGGAAGGAGGGCGGGTGGCCCACACGTGGATTTTGCGGTCCGTTGATATTCGCATTTTCATTTTGCAGCGACACGCGATTGTATTTTCGTTCAGCCTTTTACGTTTG